TATTTTTATCACCATTCTATTTTAAACAAATGTTATTTATATCATTTTTACAATAATAAGTAATACACAGAAATTAAAAGATAAAAATGAATAAAAATAAGAAAGAAGAACAAAACATCTCATCAGAAATTATTCTAAAAGCATAAAATAGATAGAAATGAGAATGAGATATTTATAAAACACATATGAAAATCACAGTCTACTTCTAATTACATAAAGAAATTGATATATAAATGATGATGAATAAACAGAAAAAATGAAATAAAAGAATAAGAAAAGTTAGAAATAAGAGAGAAATAAGAGATAATGATGATATTATGATAAAGAAAATACTGAGATAATTGTGACTAGAAAATAAAAGAAGAGATGTACTAAAACAAACAATAAACAACAATAAAAGGGAAATAAAAAAAAAACAAATAGAAAAAGAGAAATAATACATAGCAAGAAGAATAATACCAAATAATACCAAATTACAATATGACAACGAAAATTAACAACAAATGAAGCAATATCAATGAAAAAAAAGAAATAGAAATAATGAATAAGAATAGATAAATAGAAACAAACAACAAATATAACAATACAATATGAAATGAAAGTACAACAAAATAAAGAAATCGAATAATAAATGAAAGTATTGTTGGTGTAGAATTAAATAGTTAAGTATAATAGAAAATATTGAAGAAAAGAAATAAGTATAAAGAAATAAGAACAAAGAAAAAATAAAATATGACACAAACATAATAAATTGTAGAAATATGATAGTAAATACAAAAAGCATTAGACTAACAAAAGAATTTAGAAAGGAGCTTGCTACATAAAATAAGTCAAAACCATTTTAATAAAAAATAAGATGAATGTCATAGAATATTAATTATATCACAAATAAACCATATTTTGTAGATCTAATAAACAAAAGAGAACAAACTGTATTAGCCACAAAAAAGAGTAAACAATAATGAACAAGTCTATTATCATTTAAATGAACTATTTATTTTATGAATGAATTAAAGAAAATATTTACAAGAAATAATTTTAAGATTTTAGTTTTAGAATAAAGAAATAAAAAACTTTTAATAATATTTTAATGTATTATAAAATAAAAAAGAAAAAAAAAAAAAGAATCATCTATTTAAACAAAAAGGTAAAAAACAATCATGTCGTTTGGTATTGATTTTTAAATTTTATTTATTTTATTTCAAACCATTCTCATCAATTTTAGTGACCAACGTATTCAAAATATTAACAGAGACCTTGATGAAACACAACAAATTATGCAAAATAATATTGATAATATGACTCGTAATGTTGCTAATGCTGAAGAACTTGAACAACAAACTGCTGTAATGAATGAAAATGCTGCTGCTTTTAAAAAGTCATCAACTAATATGAAAAATGCAATGTGGTGGAAGAACTTTAAATTGTGGTTAATTATTGGAGCTGTTGTTGCAATAATAATTCTTGTTATTATAATTATTATCGTTATTATTGCTGTAAAAGTTAGCAAAAATAAAGATGATTAATAATTTAACGTTTATTATAATGATAATTAAATGAATTACTCCTTCTTTTTTTATTATTATATCTCTTTTAAATATATATTTAAATATTCTTTTACAATACTTATTCCCAATAAACAATATAGAAACATTCTACTTTAAATCTATCATTTTTATCTATAGTAATTTTATTGATATTAGTATAATATTCATTCATTTTTGTAGAAAAATAACCTTCTCCATTCTTTTTAATAGAAAAAGCTTTTTCTACTTTAATAAGATCTTCAGAATTTTCTTTGAAAAGTTCAAGTGTTTCTGCTTCTCTTTTCATTTTCCATAACACTAATTTATGAGTTTCATGATTACATGTAAATATAAAATGATTATCATCAAATCCAATTCCTGTGTCTACATCTCCAGGTTTAGTAAATTCAAATGGAATAATTAATTTATTAAAACAACCAAAAATATGTTGATCAATTGTCCTAAAAATGAACATAACATTTGAATATCCTTTTACGCTTTGAACAAATAAAGAAGAAAATCGTAAACGTTCCATTGTTATTATTTCTATATGATTAATAGCATTTAATTTTGTCCATTGACATAAGTCATCAAAATAGCAATCTAATCTAATTTTTTCAAATTTTTGTTTATAAAGACATTTCCACATTGAAGGAATAGAAGAAATCAAATGACTAACTTTTTTTTCATTAGAATTAAAATTTACAATAAATTTTTCAAATGAACCTTTTAAAGAATTTAATTGAGTTTCAACATTACTAATAGCAATAGAAACTAATGAAAGATTTTGTTTATCTTTTCTTTTAATTGTTTTTTCAAGTAAACAAATAATGTTATTAATATTTTCAACTTCATGTTTTTCAACAAAAAAGTTCATTTTATTATTACATTTACTTAATTGTAAATTTATTTCATTAAATTGATTATTTAAATATTCAGTATTCCAATTTTTATATTGTTTATATTCTTCTTTTAAAGAAAGAAGATTTTTTGTATTGTTTTCAGATTCTTCATTAATTTTTAATTCAATGTTTTGAAGTTGTTTTTGTTGGTTATCATTTATATTTTTATTTTGTTCAAGTTGTTGTTCAATAGAAATTAAATTTGAAGAAATATTTTTATTTTCTAAATTTAATTGAGAAATTTCTTCATTTATTTGTTTTTTAATTATTTTTTGTTCATTTTTATTTTCATCATTTAAATTTTTTTGGTAGTGAATAAATGGTAAGACATTAATTTTCATTTCATTTTCTAAAGATTTAATTGTATCTCCTTGTAATTTAATAATTTCGTTTTGTTCATTGAGAAGTTTAATAAAATTTTCAAAAAGTATTGTTGCCTTTTCACAATATGTTTTTACCTTTTCATCTCTATTAATAATACTTTCTATCTTTTTTTCTATCTCATTAACTTCATTCTTTATTTCTTTATTAGTATTATCATTCTTTTCAACTCGAATAATTAATTCATCAACTTGTTTTTTAATCATATTATCCTCTTCTTGAATTTCATATTTTTCTATATTTAAATCAACCATAACTTGTCTTTATTTTTTTGGAGTTGTATTTTTAGTTTTTTTTTTTAATTATTTTTGACGTTTTAATATCAACTTCAAATGAATATTTTTTAGTTTTCTGAAAATCATCGAAAGAAGTTTCGATATATTTGTTTTTTTTAAATTTCTAATTTTTTCTTTCCAATTTAGAAATAATACTTCTTAACATAAGAAACTCTTTTTTACTAAACAATTTTATAAACAAAAAAAAAAAAAAAAAAAGTCAATT